TGACTGATACAACAGCATCTTTCTGAAAATGTTAATATATAATTACACTTGTAATAATTGTCAATTGATGGAAAAAATATCCCAATATAATATATAAAAATGATTCGGTAGTCAAAAGTGAATGAATCAAGATGTGACTGCTTTACTCAAATAATGCCCCCCGCAGGTGCAGTATCCTTTTTGTACATTACAAGATTTCATTTTAGAATTATTCATATATTTTTACTTGGTGAAACTAATCAGAATCTGAACGAAATGTTGCTGAATCCTTCGATGGATCAATAATAGCATAGTTGTCACGTCGCGACGTATGTTTTAAAAGAATTTCGTAAGAGTGCAGGCGTTTTCGTTCGAGCACACTAAGACTTCGTCCGTTTAGACTGACTAGAAGCTTCGCATATCCATTCGTTTATTCCTACTGTCAGCGATGTTGACTTTGTATCATTACTTTTGATGTTATATCGGTGTTAGTAGATTGTTAGCTCTAGTGCCCGTTGTGTAATTACAATTTTTGACGACGTAGGGAACACAGAAATTCACGATAAAGCGGTGGATCGGCCGTAGATAGAACGTAGGAATACGTCACTACTAATCGAGTCGCAGAGTGATTTCATTCCGACGAGCAATTAACGAGATTCGAGATCAAACCCAATCTAACGGACGCATCTAACAGGAGAGCCCGACGCGAATGACAAATTTGGCAGATTGTTTCCGTACATTCGTCGCATGCCAATGAACGAATAAATATTCATCGTGCTCTAAACGAGGAGTAACAGCGCAAACGACACGAACGTCTAAATGAAGGACGAATTGAATACGCGTCCTTGAAACATCGTCCAGTCAATTGGGAGATGAGTCGACCCTTTTTGAACGTTCCTAGGACATTTGTGTTATTTCTGCGGAGTCATCTCGAGGTCCATTTATCCTCCCTCTCCTTCCCTCCTCTCTCTCTCTCTCTCTCTCTCTCTCTCTCTCTCATCTCACTTCCCATTCTCATTCTCCACTCTTTCTTTTTCTCTCTCTGTATTTAACGCCACATCATGCCTAAATAATAGTGTTCGATGAGCTCTTTAAGAACAACCAGCGATTTCGTGGTGACTCCTTGGACTTAACATAGATTGCAATATATCGACGGACACGAGCTCTTGCTTGGTCTTGTATTGTACAACCCGCAGCTTTGCATGCGATGTGTGTTCTTGTATTAGGCATTAGTTGCCTCTGATGGTCGCTATTGTCATCGTCGTCGTTGTCGTCCTACCGTCGATATATATATATATGTATATGACACTTTGCATATCACGCCTTCTCACGAATATCTCGACATAATACTACCTTACCACTTATACTTTTGCCAGTTATACTGCTAGAAAGGAGTGTCGCAATTTTCAGCGACGACCGATCTTTCCCGTGACATCGCGGCGTGACATGTACCGATTAATAAACAGCAGGACGGAGAGACGAGTCGCGTTCTCTCTGCTTCTTCTGCGAATGGTTAAAGGATGAGCATATTTGGACGACCAGCTCGTCGTTTCACATTCTTATACTAAAGTTACGTACCTTCTCGTTACGCAGAACGACGCCTCGATCTCACGTCTCGTACATTTTTTAACAGTGTAGCACACAAAAAATTGTTCTGTGTCACACGCGCTTGTCTCTTTCTCTCTCTCTCTCTCTCTCTCTCTCTCTCTCTCTCTCTCTCTCTCTCTCTCTCTTTCTTTCTCCCCTTTTTCTCTTTCTTTGTATCTCCTCTCTGTACTTAATCATATACTTCGATATCCTTCGATATAATTCACAATATTTTACCACTACTACTTTACTACTACCACTAACTACATTACACTTTCTTCATACTTACATATTCTTTCTCTCTTCTCTTATTCTCTTTCTCTCTTTATCCCTTTCTCTCTCTCTCTCTCTCTCTCTCTCTCTTTCTCTCTTTTCCGCGTGTCTCTAGTTTTCTGTCTCTATTCTGTAACTTTTCTATCACTTTTTCTCTTAAACGCCCACGACGACTCGAGCGCAATGAAAAAGAAAGACGAAAACTAGATGATATTAATCATACAATATTTGCGCGAAACATTCGATATATTTGACTTGATAGAAGAATCGCTATATCAATAACTATTTTAAAATTCAACACTCGACAATTTGGAGATTTCGTAGTCACCGCATATAAATGATACGAATAGAGAGCGCGTTTAATAATACAGTAAAAATAAAAAATACGCTGATCGGGCGTATAATTTTAGACAAACGCGGTCCCAAAAAGTTTGAGTAATTAAATATTTTACAAATCTTTTTTTTGCTTCAGTTTATTTTACCGTTACTGTACCGAATCGTATTGCTTGCTTAAATGAACACTTGCTTCACCATGACCAATGCGTACAATTTTCTCGTCAAAAATATCACACATAAATCACACGAAAAACGACTTCTCAAAAACTGGGTCGTATACGGCCTGAAAGTGCGACGGTGTCTTGTCATCGAGATATAGTCGCGGTAGTTTGAAAATTAAAACTAGTACTTTTTAGTCGCAGTAGAGAGAGAAATGATTTTTACCCTAATCTTAGAGATATACAGACAAATATAGATCGCGTTAGGCACGTAAACTAACATCAGCGTATTACTGACACTAGGCAGTCTGGTAGACTTTACACGTCCTTTGCAAGTACTCGCTGAAAGAGACTTGTCGTATACATCTGTATACAGAGTGTTTGATCCATCGCGCATGTCCGCTTCTGTACAGATACAACTCATTAAACTGAATAAAAGAAGTCTTTTTCTATTCTGCAAACAAACACGTTTTGAAATTTTGAATTATTAAAAAAGAATTAGTGAATGTGTGCGCGCGACGCGTGATGAGACAAGCTATTTAAATTCGTCTAATGTAGAGTACCATCGAAGATATCTGAATCAGTTGACGATCTTTTGGTAATGTTGGACGATATTAAAATACCCGTCTCCATTGTCCAGAATGATATATCTTTCGCCGTTACCAAGAGATTGTCAGCTGATTCAGATATCGTCGACGATACTTCATGTTAGATGAGTTCAAAGAACTCGCATCACGCGCATTCGTTTGCTAATTTTTCTTTGTTAATAACTCGACATTTTATGTGGTTATTTACAAAATGGTAAAGGAATGTTTTACTCAGCTTGAGAAGTTCTACTTGCACGAATGGATATGCGCGACAGGTCAAATATCTTGTATACGTACATATACGTATATTATATTTTGCAATTTAGAAATTTATATTTATGCTTCGCAATCGCCTCTCCTTTTCTCCTCATTCCCCTCACCCTCATCCTCCTCCGCCTTCTTCCTCGCAAACGTTCGCCGTGACATTCTGCAACGGCAGGTGTCTTGTTTCCTCCCGCGCATTCTTTCTTTTTCTTCGTGACCGGCGCGCATTCCTTCTCTCTTCTTTTTTTTCACACTGATTTATTTTCACACGCGTATGTTCTGATGATTTTAAGGCTTCTCGCATCTTGCGCGCGTTCAGTACCGGCTTCAACTATACTTTTTGAAATTTCTAAGAAAAATCAGCCGGTTCGGACAGGACTGACAGACGAATTAGACGGATGATTCTCTTGCGGGTAAACGTATGACGTCACATAAGTGTCAGAAACTTGTAGCTTGTAATATCGTTATTGTTACGAATCATTTATTGAAATATATAAAGAATTGACTGTTTCTAAACACATGTAGTTTCTTATGATTATTATGCTGATTAGTGTACAGATCGCCTAAAAAATATTGTCCGAATACGACGCATGAAGTTTGATACATCGTCAACGGTATCCGGGAAGAATCGCGGATACATTTGAATGCAACATGTTTTTTCTTTTTCTATCAAAATATTCATCGAGGAGAGAAAGGAACGACACACGCGCGGCATGTATGACAAATCTTGATTTCCGCTCCTTAATCCGTCCCGTTGTAAAGACCGTAAACAAACGCACACAATCGATATGATTCGCTCACAACCCATAGATGTATACTTACTTTACACACATTCGCCTGTATTGTGCAGATACAAGATACATATATTTATATATATATATATATTATACAGACACGCCGAACTTGCAGAATGTGACTATACGAGCTTCGAGTGACAGTCGTTTTCGCTGTTTTGCCCGACACTTTGCTTAATCCCCCACCGATATGAGCAGTGTTTCCGTTTTCTCCAGGCTAAGTTTAATGAAGCAAATTTCTACGTTACTTTACGAGGCAGATGACAAACTTGAGAAATTCGATTTAAATAATGACACAAATGTTCCAAACGCTCCAACCTGCAGAATGTTTTAAAACGTTTCGTAAATTACATTATTGCGGATTAGCTCGAGTCTGCAGTTTGTGAGAGAAATTTTTTAATCTTGCGCTAAATTTAATCCCTTGTGTATCAACACGTTTTTTTCTTTAATCATATTACAGTTAATAAACTTAAAATCTTATAACGTATCGTGTAACGTTAGAAGCATGAATTTTAAACCCACATCTTACTTTTACTTTGAGCATCTAAGTACTTAAAAAAATAAAAAAGATTGCGCTACTTTAATACCGTTCAATCAATGACAACATTTATTAGCCAAAATTGTTCGAGCTGGGCAGTTTCTTGCAACAATCATTATGTTGCCACACCTTTCGTACATATGAATTGTACATTCATTCGTGTATCTACCATTTTTCCTTTAATATGTATGCAAAAAAGTGAATATTATTATTTTTGCGCAAATTTTTATGCGCTATACAAGAATGTCGTCGACATAATCATTCAGAGAGCCGAAAGAGCGAGCGAGGACCGATTAATTACATTTGCCGGTGAGATTAATCATGGAATGGCAGAGATCAAACTGCTGTGAAAACGGAAACGCTACCAAACGGTCGTACCAAATCCCAATTCCATCGAGACCGTCAGTAATTTCCTCCACACATTTCCCCATTTCTGATCTCTGTCGCGGGGATACCTTAGGCCAGCGGATTGTCTCGATTGCAGCATCCTAGGGATGTACCTGTTCGGGGGTAAGTTTTGCATGTGGACGGACCGGAGTCGGCCCTGCACCTGTGCCGAGGTGGTCTCGCGGCACCCAATGTGTCGCTGTGATCGCAAACATTTCAACGACATCGTCTGGGCACTAGTCACTGTCTTTCAGGTACCACTGTTCCTCCCTCTTTTACACCATGATTACGTATTACGCGTTAAAAGAACATTTGCGCACAACACACGTGCGCGTATACACGCGCACGCGCACGCGCACGCGCGCGTGTACATACAAACATACATATGTACATAGATACATACATACATACATATATATATATATATATAGTCCCATTTTTACGTGGTCAAGTTTTGTACAATTACACGATTTTTTCTTCTACCTATTCATTTCCCTTGTACATGTTCTGTCTGTACATGCTTCCTCCCATGTTTGATACATATATACATATACATACATATTTCTTCGTGTCGAGCAAATGGATCCCCGATGTGATCTCTCTGCTCCCCATTGCCCATCCACACGCTTCGTCCATTCTTGTCGTTCTTTGTTATTCGTGCAAACGACGAAGTCTTTTAATGGTCGCTTTATATTTACATGCGTGCAACGGTATATACGTATTGGTACGTGTCGACGTGTTCACGTTTTTCGCATTTTGCTCGCCGCAGATAGAAAACTGCGCGACGGAGATAACTCTCACACACACAAACGTGTTGATCTCGATTTCCTTCTGTTTACACACACCTCATCCATGTGAAATGATTATGCGTGTACGGCACATCTGAAAACCGTTCCAATGAGCTTCTCGCATTCTATCACGTATTTCTGTTTACATCCACATCCTTGGTGCGGTCAGTTGAGTGTGATGTATCGAATATTATCTTAAATTTATCCTTGCAATAAATAATTTATAATATATATATATATATATATCATCGGCATCTATGTTTACTTATGGACACGTAAGTTGATACAACGGCACAATATATATATATATATATATATATCAGTAAAAAAAATCTCGGCAGACGCATTACGATTGTATGTATCGTTGACATCGTCGTATGAATAACTGAGCGGAACATCTATTGTCGATTAAAGCGACAGGATTGCGTACCAATTTTTTGCAAAGAGAAGTCACGATCATGTCTTTGCTCTTGTTGCTAATTGGATCTCCCTCTTGTGAAATGCTCCGTCGAGATATTCATATGTCGATAATTGTTGACAAAACTCATCCGTTGTGTGTATTTGTCGATGTCCGAAAATTAATTAAAGAAAATCTGCAATTCTCGAATGTACAGCTACGACTCGCGCATGCTGATGACAGAGTTTTACTAACATTTAACCACTCAGCGAATATATTGAATTCACTCTCTCTTTTTTATATAATATATTTATCAGTGACTTCTTATTAATTTAGTAATGAACGTGTTGCGTGTTGCGTCAAGTCTGGAACTTCAATTGGTCAGATAGGTCGGAACAAGAGTTTCCTGATAAAGATAGACAGGCGAATTACGTGGATAGACGCGAATAGTCTCGCAAGGAGTGATTCGTAATAGAACACTCTAAACGCATGCATTATTCACGAAATACAGCGACACTGGTTGGCAAAACGTTTGTTGCGTACCATTAGCGAGTAAACGGGTCTCTAGATGCGATGCGGTTGCGATATTGATTTTTTTTGTTTCCTTCTTTTTTTATTCTCATATATATATCTCTTCTCTGTGCCTGCATGTGTTCAAACGATCCTAATGAATGAGATTTGACTGACGTTTACATCACGTAAACACATTGTTTCCATCTTCAAATGTGATTAATACGTATTGAATTATTTACTTGTCTTTAATTCTCTTTGTATAAATTTCATGATTTGACATAACAATATGCATATATATATATATGTATATCTATATATCAGAATATTTCTAAATTTCATGTCATTAAAAGTCACGCATTCTACGAACAAAACAAAATAGAAAAGCCTTTTATTGTTTTTTACTTTTAATTCCGAAGAATAGTGACCGAACTGTCGTGAAGTTAAATTTTGAATAATTTTATCAATAACACATACGTCTGCTGTGAATTCTCCTCTTCTGTTTTTCCTACTACTCTTGATCCCAGGATTTTTATCAGGCAGTCTTCTCGTCTGAGAAATAATTTAACAGGTTATAATATTTACATTATTAGAGATAATAATAATTTATTTATTCTATCATTATTGTAAAATTACTTGAAAATTACAGCCGACGATTTTAATATGCAAAGTTTATTGCATTGGTTTATTAATTCAAAGGTCCAAATTATACTCGTCCAACACACTCGTTACATTATATAGCAAATATATAGCAAAGTAATTGAAAACTTTGATCAGACGTATACGAGACTTGTACTTACTTGGGCATGTTTTTTACAGATTTTTTACAATACATAAATCTTCAGCACGCTTTGAGAAAAAGAACGTCTTGCCGATCACGTGTCTTGTCAAATAAAAATGTTAGATAAAGATATCTTCGCTGTATTATGTACGTAGCGGGAGTCTCTTCCACTCTCTTCTTTTTATGTAGATTCTCACGCAGGAAGACTGGAACGTTGTCCTCTTCAATGGTATGCAGAAGACTTCGCACTGGGCCGCACTCTATTTCGTAGCGTTGATGACCTTCGGCAATTACGTTCTCTTTAATCTCCTGGTAGCCATTCTCGTTGAGGGTTTCTCGTCGGAGGTAGGCATTGATCGGTAACACCAACAATGTACTTCTTGCTCGATTTTATGTCAAGAGACCGAAGAAGACCTTATATATTTTAGTTACCTCGTAATCATATATTGTATATCGTATATTCTATACGCGTGACGAAATTGCCGAAACCGTAGAATAATTTGGTATAATTACAGTCATATTTTGCTCATTGAAAACAAAATTCACTTGTCTTAACATTTTATTTTTAGTACACCCTATTGAATTTTCTTTAAAATTCCTGCATTTGGACTTTAACGAACAATCTCATTTTACATTGTGAGTCGTCGGTCGGACGAAAATATCAAGTGTCAAGTAGGACGTGATAATTGAGGGTATATTTCACAGAGAAACGAGAGAAGAGAACGAGAGCAGAGAGAAATGGAGAGAAGGCTCGCCGCTAAAGAAGCCGGGATAGGCAGCGAGGACGGATCGTCGAGAGTATCGAGATCACATTCAATCTCTGACAGCGATACGTATACCCAGGTAGTTATTTGATCACTTCTAATAAATAAATCCTGTCAAAGTATTCCGCGCTCGTTCGCGTATCCTGCGCCCCTGTCACGTGAGAAAAATTGATCGAGCAGCAACTACTCGAGAAACGTCGAGTTGTTTCTATTTTGGAGCATCCTTTTCTCTCGGCTCTTTCACCTCGTCCTCGCGTGACTTGCAGGACCGAAAGAATTCGTGGCAAAGCGCGGAGGAGCTGAGGAAGTATAAGGATAACAGAGAGAAACAGAACAGCGTGTGGAAACAACCGATCGATGAACCGAAGTGTAACATCCAGAAGGAGAGCAAGATGATGGGTGTGGCGGGGCAGCCGCCAATAATCACTCACACGGCAGCCACCCCTCAAGACTCCCCAAATACCACGTTGGATGTCGGCTATAGAGATCTTAATTGTCGTGCAGTTTATCCCGCCGCTGCCCTTTCAATCGAGTCCATCGACCGATCTGGTGTATGTCATTTCATTTCGATAGACAATGCCTCTCGGACGCGGCGACACGGAAAATTGTTCCTTGTGACTCGAGAAGGATATTCGAGACTGACGGATTGCGCGACGTTGTCTCTCTATGTTGATTTCACTTGTTTTTCCTTTCTTTATTAGTAACTTTTTAATGCGCTGACTAAAATCTCCTTAAAGATTATTTAGTCATGATAATACATATAATACATATCAAGGTCTTTCGCTCCGGCGAAAGGGTCTCTCCTCCTTTTTTCTAAGTACTATTACTATTTAAAATATCGCAACGTAAAGTATGAGAATGTAAAGTCTTTTGTGCAGATATAATGACGCATCTACGTAATTCCTGCGTAATTCTGCACTGCAGTAGCTCTCTACCGAATATCAAATATCGTTCGTATATACTGAATGAAAGGAACATGTATATCACAGAGAAAATGTAATAATGACGCGCCGTATTTACAGAGTCAGTGCAGCATACCCTCGGGGTTGTTAAAGCTGCCCGATGTCTCTAATAAAATACCGACAAATAACTTAATAGCCGGCCAATTTCCGAGACGGATAAGTCTCGTTACGGCCGTCGTTAATCCCCAGACGAGGGATTCGAGCTCCAGGTACCTGCTACACTTAATCGTTCTTTCTTTTATGTTGTATGCAATAAACATCGTTCCCGCGCGTGTCTGTGATACTTTCCTTCTCTTGTCAGCCCGCCGAGAATACAGAGAGGATATTCGTGGCGCTTATCACGACCGTCTCTGAGGAGAAAGAGATGGTCGCAGGATGACGATGAGAATACCAATCATACTACCGTACTTAATAACGGGCGCAGCACTCTCGCAGTCGGTCCCAATCAAACGTAAGTCGGACAAACCTCATCCCGAATCAAAGTTGGAAAAGAATCAATGATCAATTTCTTGGCTGCCGCTCGTTATAATGTACGCGGGTCCGATAATTTGATTAGAAAAAATATAAAAGTCAAAAGAAGCTCACTTTATCTTAAATCCTTTTTCGTTTTCGCCAAATTTTTCTATATTTCAATAAAATAATTAATAATAATACTAATAAATAATAATAAATAATAAAGTGAAATCGAAGCCGAAGTTAGCAATATTAAATTCGCGAAATGTCCTCCTCAGCTTTAACGGCGGTTATTTGCACGGTTCGATAAGAAACGACACGCAACGCGACGCGCCCAACAATCGAACTACCGTCCTGACGAGCAATAATCGTAGTCTGAGCCCTAATAATTCTCTTGAAAGCCATGGCCAATCGATTCGTCGTTACACAGTTACGCCTAATCAGGTGAGTTGGACACTCTGATGATGAATGTCGCTTGAGAATATCGATAAACTTGCCAACGGTCATGAAAATTTTCTCCAACGGGGTAGAATTAAAATTAGCTCAATTTCAACTTGCACATCTTGTAGATGCGATGGATTGGCGAGCTTTCACGAAGGAACTCGTTGCGCGGATACGAGAACGTTCACGAAACATCAACGAAGAAGACGCTACCGTTGGACGAGATGCTCGCTCCGTCCTCGACTCCCCGCACAATTAACAATCTCTCGATGGAAACTGGCCCACTGCCAAGAATAAAACGACTTCACGAACAAGAGGAAGAGCACCTCAGAACAGGCGAGCAGACGCCGCCATCGAATGGCCATGGAAGTGCGAGCAGCGTCGAGAGGATCAAAAAGATATTTATGTTTTTTGAACCTAAGGGCTGCCTAAAAGAACGTGATGATTATTCCTTGTATCTATTCCCACCTAACAATAGGTAATGCTACATATTGCTAATCGATCGATGTTTGAAGTCACAATCAAGAAAGCCGCCTAATAAACAAATTAATAATCGAGAATGCGACTGAGACAGTAAATTAAAAAGTCTAGTGGCAACTCAAAATTTTTGCAGCACCGTTGCACACGTGACAAGTATATTCTCTATATGAATGTCGTTTGTTCAAAATATAATAATAAAGTCAACGGTAAACTCACTCTCTTGTAATGACCTAATATTTCAAATTTTCTTGCAATACGATACTTAATCATATTCATTTGGAACAAGTATTGATGAATTTGATAGATTGTTTTTCTTTTTACATAATTAAAGAATATGCAAGATAAAGAGGATTTATAAGTTGTCCTCGCATACTACAGGTTTCGTATTTTCTGCCGATGGTTTGTTGATCAAAAATGGTTCGACAATGTGGTACTGCTGTTCATTGGATTGAACTGCATTACTCTGGCGATGGAACGACCAAATATACCACCGGACAGTCGCGAGAGACTTTTTCTATCCACCGCGAATTACATTTTTACTGGCGTTTTTGCCATCGAGATGTTCATTAAGGTAATGCGTAATCAACGTAATAAAATACGTACGTCTCGATGCCTCGGTAAAACGTTTTGTTTAAAGGAAATCTAGGAGAGTGTAAGAAAGATTAAAAGTGATGATTACCGTGTGATTATAAGTCTTAAGAATCATATACCGCATTTCGATGATGTTACTTTTGCAGGTCGTCGCAACGGGTATGTTGTATGGTTCAGATGCATATTTCACCTCGGGCTGGAATATCATGGACGGATCTCTGGTTATTATTTCCATAATCGACTTGTCGATGTCGTTACTTTCATCCAGTAGTCCGCGGATATTTGGAATATTAAGGGTAAGTTTATCGTTGTAAACTCTCTCTTTCTCTCTTTCTCTCTTTCTCTCTCTCTCTCTCTCTCTCTCTCTCTCTGTCTATTTTCGTTGGCGGTGATTGCTTTGCTCTAATCAATCATTCCTGCACAATTACGCAGGTTTTTAGATTACTAAGGTCATTAAGACCCCTGCGAGTCATCAATCGCGCGCCCGGTTTAAAACTGGTCGTTCAAACCTTGTTGTCTTCATTACGACCCATCGGCAACATTGTCTTAATCTGTTGCACGTTCTTTGTGATCTTCGGTATCCTTGGAGTACAACTCTTTAAGGGTGCGTTCTATTATTGCGAAGGCCCTGACATCAAGAACGTACGCAATAAGACGGACTGTCTGGCCGACCATCGAAACATGTGGCTGAACAGAAAGTATAATTTCGATGACCTCGGCAAAGCTCTCATGTCGTTGTTTGTTTTGTCATCGCGAGATGGCTGGGTGAACATCATGTACACAGGTTTAGACGCAGTTGGAGTCGATCAGCAGGTGAAAGAAATTCGTCAAAGAGGAATAAATATTTCTTTTCTCCCCCCAATGTGTCAATTGGTCGTATAAAGATACATGAATTCGCAGTGTGGACAAATATTTCGATAATTTCAATATGATAATATTTCAATAATAGTATGACAATAATTTGACACTTAAAGACTCCCGACGCGGAGAAAAATGCCGGATTTGTCTTCCGGATTAGAGTCACATTTTTTGTAAATTTGTTGTTGGAAACAAATATACGAAAACGCGGCTTCAACCCGGTAGTCAAACTGAGAGCAACCCTTCTTCTGAATTAGTAAATGTGTGGTATATAGTAATCTTTTTTCGTATTTCCTCAAGCATCGTTTTCTGATGACCCGAAAAGCAATAATTTATATGCGTATACATATATGTATATATATATATATATATATATATATATATACATATATATAGTTCGATTTCTAACACTAACGAAAATATATGATATCTAAATCTATTTGATGGAGCCCGCGACGACTTGTAAACCAAATTGATTACAGCCTATCGAAAATTACTCCGAGTGGCGATTGTTATATTTCATCGCATTCATACTACTGGTGGGTTTCTTCGTGTTGAATATGTTCGTCGGCGTGGTGGTAGAGAATTTTCACAGGTGCCGCGAGGAGCAGGAAAAGGAGGAGCGCGTACGTAGAGCGGCCAAGCGAGCATTGCAGATGGAGAAAAAGAGACGAAGTGAGTGGCCGCGGTCTCAGCTAGGTTAATGCCACTTCTACATCATTACGTGTACTTGGAAGGTGATGCCGTGTGTATGTAATGTCTGCCATACTTTCAGAGATGCACGAGCCACCGTATTATACCAATTACTCCAAGTCGCGGCTATTCGTTCATAACGTCGTAACGTCCAAGTACTTTGACCTGGCGATCGCGGCTGTAATCGGTCTCAACGTTGTCACAATGGCAATGGAGTTTTACATGATGCCGAAGGCGCTCACCTACGCGCTGAAGATATTCAACTATTTCTTCACCGCCGTCTTTATACTTGAGTCGCTTATGAAGCTCGTTGCTCTCGGTTTGCAGCTTTATCTCAAGGACAAGTGAGTATACGAGTTTCGATGAGCATATCTCGAGAAACATTTTCCTTTTTAACACGTTTTTAACAAGATACTTTATCAATAATGGCGTTGTAAAAAGGATCTTATGCGACGATGCTTGCGCGATGCTTCTCTTGCAGATGGAATCAATTAGACGTAGGAATAGTGATACTATCGGTGGTCGGCATCGTGCTGGAGGAAGTCGAGTCCAAGATAATCCCCATTAATCCTACGATAATTCGCGTAATGCGAGTGTTGCGGATAGCCCGAGTGCTAAAACTTTTGAAAATGGCGAAGGGTATACGCGCCCTTTTGGATACGGTAATGCAGGCATTGCCGCAGGTTGGCAATTTGGGACTGTTATTTTTCTTGCTCTTCTTCATTTTTGCGGCGCTAGGGGTGGAACTTTTTGGTCGACTAGGTAATTGTCTCACTTCAATACCAATACACACACATATGTGATGCATACATCTAGGGTAATTTAAAGATACGGAAACAGCCAATTATCTTCAAAATAATTGGGTCTATAGCTGTTGGATAATTGGCTGTTTTCGGACTTTTAGATTAGCCACACACACACACACACACACACATGCGCACCCACATACACATACAGGATGTTCAAAAGAAAAGGTTCCAGACTTACAGGGTAAATGGTACTTATTATACTGCTACTAAAATGTGTCTAGCAAACATAGACTAAAAAATCAACTTTTTCAGCGTTTCTCCGTTGCGATAATTCTAATTATTTGTGTGCTTCTATTGTTTACGCGTGATGAATAAACGAATGGATATCTTATTAGCCATATTATTATTTTATTATTGCTTTGTTTCCAATAAGTGTTTTACGTGTGTGTGTGTGTGTGTGTGTGTCTTCTTCGATTTCTCATAAAAAGAAATTCAGTGAATCTCAGTCAGAAAATCGAGAAGGCAGTATAACTGATTTATCCCGTTCAACCCATCTTTCGCCAAATGTTTCATTTAAGTGTTCTCTGACAATTAATATAGAAAATGAGCTCCCTCTCTTCCCCCTTTTCTCCCTCCACCTTTGCACCTTTCGTAAACATTAAAGTAACATGTAACAAGATAATCCTTTCAATTTTATTCATTGCGCGTAATCAATGAAAGCACACAAACAATTTATATACCAACAGTATATAATTTTTATATAATTTATACAAACAATGATAGTGTTCCGATAAAATTGGTAATCGGGATTAACATGAATCAAACGATGTTAATCTCTTTCGTCACAGAATGCAGCGATGAGATGCCTTGCCAAGGTCTTGGCGAGCACGCGCATTTTAGTAACTTTGGCATGGCCTTCTTGACGCTTTTCCGGGTCGCCACTGGCGACAACTGGAATGGAATCATGAAGGACACGCTAAGGGACGATTGCGATGACGCTGCAGACTGCGTCAAAAATTGTTGTGTGAGCACCATCATCGCTCCGATATTTTTCGTCATTTTTGTTCTGATGGCGCAATTTGTACTGGTGAATGTCGTCGTTGCTGTGCTGATGAAACATCTGGAAGAGAGTCACAAACAGGTGACGTTTTCGGAATATCTCATACAACGGAGATGATACTTGATTTTATCTCGACGACAAAAAAAGCTTCGAGATGTGACGCTTTAATTTCAGATGGAAGATGAACTCGATATGGAAACGCAATTAGAGAGGGAATTAGCCGCGGAGCAGGAAGAGCTTTTAGAGGAGGAGGAGGAGGAGGAGGATGAGGATGACGTAAGGATGAACGGTAGATTGGATGGTGAGGAGGATGAAGACGATGAGGACAGGGAACGAGAATCCATGGTCGGACATGAAAAAATACTCGTCGCACGACCAGGATTGGCCAAAGTTCGTTCCTTACCTGCGAACTTTATTTACAACCCACCGAGAGAGAGAAACGCCGATGGTGAGCACCTTGTTGAATTGACTGTTGTCATTAACAGTCAACAGTCTGATTATCCGTTTACTACGGGGGCATGCGGGGTGGGGAAAACTATTTATTTTGGAAAATAACTCGTAACTATTATCGTTTCTCAAACGCTTCACAGACGTTTCAATTTCCGTGTCTTTGGATGAAAAACGTCGCAGTTCGTATTACCGTTCGAATTCAAGACCGTCCAAGTTCAAATCGAAACGCCGGCAAACCTTCCATTCGGGTCACCATCAACGAAGATCATTACTACCAATGCATTTCGAGGTCGCCGAGGTTTTTGAAAAGCCAGTTAGCAATTTGACCGTACCTCGAATTATTCCGCATCGTAATTATGCTGCAGTTAGTCACGACATCAGTCACGTGCAATGTCAAAAGTCACAGGTGAGATATACAAGATGTATGACTGAAGATCCCAAGGAATACGCATACCATAAATGAAAATCAATTTTACAGCTAACCACCGAAATACAAGAGAAGTCTCGGTTAAGTGTAAGCAAACCACTGATCAGCTCCCCGTCGATCACGCCCGTCGGCTCCAGCAGCACCCTCAGCGTGCCACCGAAATTAAGTAGCGACCGTTTTCTCATGCCGACTGCTGACACTTACCCGTCCAAAGCGATGATGACTCGCCGGACATCCAGCGACACGCAATCCCCGTCGCAGTCGGACACGAGCGCGAGCGCGGCAACGGCCAGTGGCATGAGAACGCCTAGCATCGCGAATGGCTACGCTGGTGGCAGCAAACCTCGGCAGCTGGAAGAGCAGCAGCAGCAGAAACCAAAGGAAGAGAGACGCGTAACGGTGACGCCGACGGCGGTGACTATGGATGATCTCGACGTACAGTCCATTATCAATGAGAGAAGACCGTCCAAATTGAGGACGCACGGCGCTGGGGCGTCCGCCGCCACCAGCTCCAGTGATCAGTACAGCGCAGCCATCCACGGTGAAGGCTACGGACACATCTACGCTGCTGACGACAGATCCGACGAGCTGTCGCCGTGCGGCAACGCGAGCGAGGGCACCGGCAGCATCAGCGTCGCAGCTAGCCTGAGCGCGGCCGGCAGCATCAGCTGCGGCAGTGGCAGCGGCAGCGGTAGCGGCAGTCGAAGTAACGGTGCTGCTGGCGTCAGCGGGGTTCACATCGGTGAGGGTGGTGCTATCGGATCCGATGTGAGAATATATGTGGACGACACGGACTCAGTGAGCAGCAACAGCCACCGGCGGGCCAGACTGCACGATGACCAGACCTTGGACGCCTCGAGCACCGTCTCTTCCACCACAACAATGAGAGATGGGGGTGGAGACATTGGTGGCAGCTGCACTGGTGGCAGTGGCATCGGTGACAGCGGCAGCGGCGGCGGCGGCGGCGGCGACGGCGGTAACAATGGCGGTGGCAGTGTCAGTGGCAGCAACGGCAATGGTAGTAACGGTGCCAACAGTAACGGCAACGGCAATAGCAACAACGACGGTGGTGGCAGTGGTGGTACGGAAAATGGCCGGGAGACTTCATCCGAAAGACCATCCTCCGTTGGCAGGCCGCTGGATCCATCTTAATTGAAAACAAACGAACCGAAGTAGTCTAGTCATACGTATTACGTCAGCGGCAAGCCACGAATTAAGCGAGTTCGGAAACGTGGTAGCGTTCATGCCAAAAATATCACCTGACGCTCAGGGTTGCGAAGGACTCGAGAAAGGGCTCTAAGAAAGACTGTAGCGCATGACAATATAGTCGTTATACTCTAGTTACTTCGCCGCCGTGAATTTGCCAAAAAGAACAAAAAAAAAGAAAAGAAAAACAAGCGAGCCGAGCATTTTTTCTGTTTTTTTGTTTTAAGAAAAAATTGGATTCTTCGGAGAGGTGGAAGGGAAGATGGAAGAGAGATAGAGATGAGAGAGTATGAGAGAAAAAATCATCCCGTTTACGCGAACGGTCGTGCAAACGTGGACATTATAGTTAGGGGAAATCTACCAATGCGTAGCGCACAGCTATGTAAAATGTGCACCATGCGCGCGCGTAGCGCGACTTAAAAACCTATGACAATCTCTTATTGCCAACGGAACCGACCTCTCGTGTTTCGTTTCCCGAAGCGTCGTGGAAGTTGAACCGTAGGATCTGGTAGGAAGAAGAACGATGTAGGTCGCGTTGAAAATTAGAAAGAGAGAATTTCAGTAGTAGTTTATAGCTAGCTCTTATGTGGAGTTACGCGACAACCGCAATTAATTGGACCACACTGTCTCGTCTTTTTCTTATTCTCTAACTCATGAAGAAAAAAAAAATTGCGCGCTAGGAATCGCCGTCCGGGGAATCAAAGTCTATCTACAATCGATCGATAAAAATTCTATTTTATTAATTCGTAGATCGAGACCAAAGGACAATAAATGGGCAAAATTCAGGTAGTGATTTGAAATTCGTGTCTTGTAAGATAATACTTATTTCTGATTAGTACAATCGAGCGTTGCAATCATAAATCCAAATTTATCTGCATTTTAAATACAGGATATTTCAGAATTACATAAGACTTGAACACACAAAAAATAAATGAAAAAGTCTCAATATAAATATAGGTCTGCAAATTAATTATTTCCAAGATATTCAACTTTCTATTTCGCAAGTCCTTAACTATTGTTCCTCATTGAGCGTTCCATGGAGTGAAATATTTCAGAGATTTCACTTGTGATACTTTTATACACAGAATAACTTGTGTGTGTGCGTGAGAAATCCATCTACATAAAAATATTATTTTATTAAAAACATGTAAAATATTTTATACAAATTTTATACGATTTTGAGAAGCAACTTAAATTAATCTCCAAAGATATCTAAATGAGAGGAATGCTATTCTTTTTTTAATTGTGCTTTATATTCATTATAAACAGAAAACAGACGTTTTTATTATTTTACGAATTTAGATCGAGCTTTTCTGGTTTCGTTATCATAAGTTACTATCGTGTCAACTTCAAAACAATTGATACCTTTTTTAATGACGATAATTTAAGATTGCAAATTAATTCTTATTGTGAGGAGAAAAACTGCACGTATATACTCGTATATCGCGACTCTGCTGTATAAAGTATCAGCGTTCACTTTGTGGATCTTTTTCGTCGTTCTTCGTATCGTATCGTAAATCGTAATAAAGAGAGATATTACTGCTGTAGATTAAAATAATGAAATTGTAAAAAAACAGCTTCGAAAAAGGAAGCTGAATATTTTAGAAACGATTGGTACGCGGACCTATATCTCTTTATGACTTTTCTGTTTTTGGGCATTAGGAAGGTCGGATCTTTGAACATTATAAAAATCATCCTGAGATATCCTATATTGGCATTTGTAGAAGATACGATAATTATTATTGACTTTATACGTTCTAAGGAGAGAGAGAGAGAGAGAGAGAGAGAGAGATATTGAGAGAAATATATATTGTTTGATCTTCTAGTTAGTTTATGTTGATTGAAGAAGAGGATTTATTAGAAAGTCGATCGGTCGTATCATAGGAATCGTGATTATTCGAACGGTGTCCGGGAATCGTGGATTATCTTCATTTCGTTCACTTCTCTCTTTTCACACTCTAGAACGTTCTTCTCGTTGACATCTGTGATATACTTTAATCGTAGTATATTTCCTAACGGTAACAGAGAGCAAATATCAGCAATGAGACCGTAACATCGGCAGCAGCAACAGCAACAGCAACAGCAGCAGCAGCAGCACAAGCAGCAACAAGGCAACAATTTAGAGACGTAGCTGACTTTTAATAATACGAAAACCAATGTTCGGATGGCTTTCGCGTGGAAATAAAAATAGAGAGACAGAAGGATAAATAGGAACTCTATACCGTGTACATACATACATCTATATATATGAATATTCTATACTCTACACTTGGTGTGGTTTATTTTGATACTACCGCGTGCGGTAATATTTAACGATTGTCGAAGTAAATCTAAACAAAACGAAAAAAAGAAAAAAAAAGAAAAAGCAAACAACTCTATGCCTTTTACGAACGTTGACGAACCTTCGTGCGGTGGTGGTGCCCGCGTTTCCTTCCTTCTTTTCGTCAGCTGCGAAAATGTGACCGCGATGATACTCGCATTCTTCGAGTCGAAGGTCGAAGGTGAGGCGAAGCTAATTATATCAACGCGCATCGAACGCGCGCGCCGCGTTGCTTCGAGAAAGATGGGAGAATGGAAGAAAGAAACAGACGGAAAAGGAGAGTAGTAATAATATATAATTGTCGAAACTTATCGCTCTCTGACGAGTTGCGCTTAAAAAGCCTAATAAAATATGGAATTGGTTGTTTCTTAAGTGACCGGTTTCTTCGTTGGCCGGAAAGTATCGCCGAACTTTAATTTGGTCATTAACGATAAATTTCGACTAGACTATACCGCGTGCGGAAGGATATACAACGGATGATGCAGAGCGCGTGCAATGAGCAACGTCTGCGAATCGCTGCGTCGGATCATATTAGGAGTTTTAAGTATGAGAAGTATGCAGAGATAATTACGCCTCTCCATGTGTTTGCGTACATGTGTTACGCGCATGTGTCTCTCTTCGGCACCACGACCAGCTCTCGATAGCTCGATAGCGTTAGACGACTGACCTCCGAATTATAGTTACTCTAGCCGCGTGCCGATCGTGATCGCGCGCGAGTTTACCGATCAGCTGCACACGTATCGATAGTTTGGCAGTTATGTACTGTAAAAACAAAAAGAAGAACAAAAAAAAATAAGAAAAACTGTAAAAGTATCTAGGAGTACACATCCTGATTCGCAACGGCAAACAGACGTGAAAGGGATGTTGAATCACGAGACTACGTGTGCATGCATCATTGAGAGAGAGAGAGAGAGAGAGAGGGGGGGGGCAGCAGCAGGGGAGGATAATATCGTACGAAATTCGCAACGTGCCTCTCGAGTCTGTTCTTTGCCTGTAGAGGAGAAAGTGCATAATCGATGAATTAAATTCGAGAAGGAGATGTGTACGGAGAAGGAGAACAGAAACCAAAGTCGGGCCGTTGTTGGTCCTGGATATATAACGTGCTATTTTAATTATGATAAAACAGTGTACTAGCCGGAGCCCGTAGGGCTCGCCGGTAAACGTCCTTTTTGTTTGCCTGATGTTTCTGCGTGCATGTACGATGCGTCCATTAGTGACGCAAAACTTTCGGCCTCGGCCCGGAGATTACGAAGCCGGGGCGCACGATGGAGTGCAGTGGTGGTACGTGTGTAACGGAGAATGCGTGAGTGGATGTTCGGGATAAAATGGAGTTAGAAGAAAGAACTAAATATGTACAAATGTAATAAAATCGAGCGACGATTACGATGAGTCGGCTTGTCTTTATTCAACAGACCTACCGTCCTGATTTACATTCGCGTGACATTGATCGATATTACGGTGACGGTGACGGTGACGCTGACCTTTCGGCGATGCTGATTCTGCACGTTTGATATTTGTTTTACGAGAATCTGCAAACCACGTGACGGGTGAGGAGCCCCTTGAATTAAATTACGAATTATATTTTACGGAATATATTTTTCATCGGATTATATTCAGTATAAATTAAATATTTGCTTATAAATTACGATCGGTCCAATACTTGCTTGAGTTACATCTAGAGTGTAGACAAAGTTAATCTCTATTGTCTCTATTGGAATTCACATAAAATTGTTTTCTAGACATCGAGAATATTGCTGTAGCAAGCTACAACACTTTTTTCTCTGTGTACATAATTTCAGAAGAATTATTATTATTAAATTAAATACCTGTTGTGCACTTGCACAACTTTATTTACAGTTGCGCTTGAGCAAGCGTGCCGTGCACTCGTATTCTATAGATACACGTGTACTCCGGATTACCACTGTTCGAATGGACTTTCATCTCGATTATCTCGTACGGCTGTATCGCTCGATTCTACGATAAATTTTATATTTAATGTTTGTTAATACATATATATTGATAATTAAATTTTTGTTGCTTTAATCGAAGAGCATCCGCTATGTGCGCGGGATGATTAGTGTCGCGTATTAATCGTTAGAGTGTGGTACCAGTATCGAGACCACGCGACGAATTTAAATGTCTCGTGAAAACATAATTCAAACTTATGTTTGATATTGCCGACGACGGCATTGATTAGTTAAATTTTACTTAACAATGTAAATATTAGAAATATTGCAGATTGCACTAATGACCCTGCATATATAATATATTTACTAAAAATTTCAATGAAAATTTTTAATTAAATACAGTCGTATCGGATATTCCACCTGTGCATCAAAGTACTGCAATGGAGGACCAGTATTGTCGTACGTAAACTCGCCGAATAAGAAAGGTGTCTTGTCTTCCACATCAGTTATACCCTGTGTGTGTGTGCGTGTATGTGTGAAAGCGATACGAAAGAAATATAACAACGTACAAATATTACATACAAGCTATGATTCAAAAAGAGAGGAAATTTTTGATATTAAAATTAGACATTATCACGTGCCCAAACGGAGAAGTCTCTAGGTGCTGTGTCGGTCTCACCAGTCGGGGATATTAACGAGGAGATATGTTCGAGGCTGATTCCAGACACGTGCACATAGCCGAGTAATCGTATCACGATGCTACCACTGCTACCCTTGAAGGCCCAACATTCACCCGGCAAAACACCGGTCTGATGAATATTTCAGGGTCAGTACGATATTGTAATTAGCTATAACGAGTAACCTGTATCACGGCTCGAGGTGTGTTTTGCTGTTGACAGCGCGGCGTGCCGAAAAAGTTGAGTACGGATGCGCCAGTTGAATAGAGTTCGGTGTCTCGCGTTGAAAGAATCTCACCTCCTGCAGACCAGGGCTTCTTGTGAAAACACATTGAAAAGAAGCACGTTGCACCTATTGCCTATTCTGTGTGGGAAATGGGCGAAAATATGTGCATGCGCACACGCAAAAGAGGGAGAGAGAAAGAAAAAGGGAGAAAGTTAAGTGTAAAGATAGATTAGTGTTAGATAGTGCATAGAACCTGAATTCTCAAGAGCATAGTCCGTTCTTCCAGTCTTGTCGGCGTCATACGTCTCTAATTCGCTCTTCACCATATTTTTAACAGTCTCCGACGATAAAGCCTTCAGCAAGTTCCTCGTATGAAGGATCATTTCTATTTTATTTATAAATCTGCAGTAAATATTAAAAGAGCCAACAAAGTCGACAAAAGGATTGCTAAATAGAGGATGAGAATAAAAATATACCAAATAATTGTACGTGCGCACGTAATTGATACAAAGGGAAAGGCTTTCGTGCTTTTGCTGTAAGCGGAAGCTCACTCCGATGTACGGCATATCGCTCTACTTATCTAACTGATATATCGGGCATCAAAGAAATGCCACTGCGCCGCGCGGCCGCAGTATCCGGTCAACATTTATAATCTCCATTTTCCTTACCCTCGGACACTTCGTTTCGCAATCTGATAATAGCTTCTGACATTTTTGGAATCACGCTACCCACTTCCTTCAATTTGTTCTTCAGCTCGTCGCGTATCTCCATCATGTTCTTTACTTCTAGCTAGTTTTGTGAACGGAGATTATAAAAGACACAAAGACATTGCGTAAAAATTAAAGTGACAAAAATTAGATCTAACACAGATTTTAATAACAAATGTCAAGACTCGAATATCCAATGAGTGAGAGATTTCGGAAAATTTTACAATTTCAGGAGAATATCGCTAATATTCGATAGATGATTCAACGTCGGTAAACTGTAAACTATTAAATCATTACAGAAAGAGTCTCCAGATGAGCTTTCACATTTCCCAAATCTGCCTTGACCATCTTGAACGAAGCACTGGCGGAATATTTATCACAGAGATGGGATACGGACATCGCTAAAAATATTCTTATCTCACTTGTGTGTAAAGTATCTTTATCGAATCTTCTTGCAGATCAAATTATAATAGAAACACGCTCGTTTCATGAAAGCTTTTTAATTACTTCGTAAAGCTAATTTCGTACCGAGCATCGACGTGATGACACAAAAAGCGAAGGGTTTGATGAGTTTCGTGTACCAAGTTCGCTGGTTGCAGGTGACTGGAATGCCCGGACAGTTTCCTGCGTTGACGCAACAGAAAGTGTTTCGTGCACTCATCAGCGTCGTTTCATAATAATGTATCCCAAATGCTTATATAGAATACAAAAAGAAACGCGCCAATGAAAGTCAGTTAGATTAATGCATGTCAGATACTCGAGAAAGCTTCTCGCAACAAGGTTATTCAAAAAAAACTTTCGTTGGACATGTATGACGTGTAAGAGCATGTATGACGTGAGCGACCATTAATAATTACTACATTTCGGGCAATCGATATTCGCGAAAAAGTGAAAAGTGCGATAATCGAAATCGTCAGAACATACTGTTATACAAGATGCTCGGTAAAATTTGTTACTAATATTTATTATAGAAAAAGAAAAGTTTCGAAAAAGTAAGTGACAAAAGCATTTGTCACTTTCTTTATTTGAGGGACTGTATTAAATTGTATGTACACAATTGATTTATTATTTATTGATTAGAAAGAAGCGCAAATAATGCGTCAAATCTGATACCGTAATATCTTATGTCAGTAACCAGAAACAGAAGTGTACGATTATAAAATACAAGTAAGCTAATGACTTTATGTTTTTTAAAACTTTAACCAAGTAGTGCATATAAATATTGTAGACTTATAATAGAATAATATACGGACAAATAGAAAGAGAAATTTCATTCTCTCTCTTTTTTACTCCCTCTCTCTCTCTCTCTCTCTCTCTCTCTCTCTCTCTCTCTCTTCGTTTCTCCTTTTTATTTAAAGTCTGAGTCGATACAAGCTGCACATCGTCTGCGACAACATTCTCATACGGTTTCGCTGTTCAGAGATGCGACTGAATAGGAAAAACACTGTTTGAATCAATACTTAAATATATGATTACGATCCAGCAGATCTTATATAATATACATACGTACGATGTGCAATAAAATGCGATTCTTTGTTGGTCTACTGGCATTTTTCTAGATTGGTTAAAGGAACACTCGTGGCATATATAATTCGATGAGTTCTACTGGAGAGCGCAGCATATACGTTTTTATTATTTTTGTAAATAAAATTATAGTAGTTGACCATATGTATATTGTTTGCAATATAATTTATCATAATTTGTGAAAAATCAAGCTTGCGTGGTATCTTAAGAAGTTTGTAGTTATCAAAGTGTTATACAACTGAAAATTATTGCGAAATCGTATTCTAGATCCGAATATGGATCAACGTGATACGTGGCTTCATATATTCTGTTGATCCGTTTATTGTTCATTAATCGAAATCGATTTTACACAAAGTAATATATATATGTATATATATAAAATGTTACTATCATATCCGTGGTACGCGAATACGTTACTTCCTTTTGTTCTTAATGTCGAAATTATTTTACATAACAATGTAATATCGAATTTTCGTATTGACTGTACATTCACTGTACGTTCTTCAAGGCGGAATGTATACGCACGTTGAGTCGACTCTCAAAGTCGTAATCTCTGTACTGAGATTGCGCTTTCATTAGAAAACCTCTGCCTTCGTCGGAATTCTGAAATAAAGAATGTAAAACTCGATATAACTAGAAAGTACAAAACGTCATTAGGTCGACGGGGCAATCCGAAAGGGGTGATTCTATTAGATTCTATTAGATGTGCCGAATAAAACTCCTAATCTCTTGCCGTGGAAAGCTTCATTGTTGACATCAGCAGCGAGGAATTTCTTCCCTTTACAAATAGCAGTTCAGTGATACCTTGTTTATATTGAGTATACTTACGTTATTGTTACAAAGACTGCTACCCAGTTCATAAAGAGCAAACGCGCTCACGTGTTGGTCGTATTCGTCCTTGGACGGATACCGTCGTTTCAAACAATTTCGGTAACACTTAATCGCCGCCTCGGTATCTCCCAAATAAGAACACGCTGCACCCTCCACAAGGTCGGCTAATCCTACCATTGGTTCCTCGGCTCGACTTCCTTTACATTCTGTCGACAAAATGAAATTATTTGTGTGTGAAGGAACTTTGACTTTGACTTTGAAAGAGGAGACTTCACAAAAGATCGTAGAAAATCGTAAAAATATCCAAGTAACATACATGTCAATTTCTCAAATATTTATCTGAAATATTTCTCTGTTGCTCAGGATCTCACGACTACCAAATAGAACAGAATATAAATTAGTAATCGATTGATTACCCAACAATATTCCTCGGAGGGACTCGACGGAACAGGACGGCATAGCATTCCACAAATATAGCATTTCGTACACGAGCAATCTGTAATACAGGATCGTGTAAGGACTTCCGGTGTCCTTGTTGATGAGTTTCGGCACTCTATGTAGGATGAAAGCACCGAGCTGCGTCTCTCTATTCATCTCGTGAAACCAATGGAGGATCTTATCGTAGCTGGTTAGGAGAACGTCGAATTTGCCGTTCGCGCCGCAACAAACTACAAACGTGCGTCATAGTGAAGAATGTCCCGCGGCTGTTCTATTCGAACGTCAAGGCCATGTTGAAGTTACCCATGGCTAAGTACGCGTAGAAGCTCTTCGACCACCTGGACTGATGCTGCAGCTGCAGCAGGGATCGATACGCCTCCTCGTAACTCAAACGTATCAAGTGGCACCAAGCTACCTCATGCAAGCACAGCAATCTGATCTCTCGCTGAGTCGAAGCTTCGACAGCTTTACCGTAAGCCTCGAGGGCTCCGTTCACGTTTGACTGCAGAGTTACATAAGTTGAGTAAGTCACAATTATATTCGTCACCGTTATATATGTTTCTGAGAAATTATTGTAATTGCGTTGTACTTTTACCATTACCAATAACGAACGTCGTTACCAAAAAAGTAACGTCGTTACCAAATTATTACTGAAGAAAATAACTTGTAACTGTGTAACGACGTTATATGTAAGTAACGTGTTTCCAACTTTGTCAATTGGCGCGTATATCGAAATTAATTTATCACTACCTCCAGACGTTCTACTCTTCCGGCGAAGAAGAGAAAGAGGGCAGAATCGTGAAATTCGGTGTGACACTCGGCAATCAGCTGTTTCGCCACCGCGACGCCCGCTTTCACATTGGACCCGTCGAGTGCGAAGAATGGTCGTACAATCGTGTGATACCAGAGTAGAGATAATCTACGACACAATGTTAATACATTATCGCACGCTGCAATAGTCGCGCGCAAGTATAACACGAGTTCCGCACGTGTAAAAATTAAATATTTGATCAGCCTGTTACTTTGTAAAAATAATGCGATACTTATCTCTTACTTATCTTCCATCTTATTTCGTATCATGTCATAACACTTTTACCAGAGAATAGCCTACATGCTTAATATATTGTACAAATGTAAAAACACAAAGGAATCTAAACCCAGACAGCACATATGTCCAAAACTGGGACATAAGACGTCCTTAAGACATCTTTAAGTCGTCTTTAAGATGTCTGAAAATAAGACATCTTTAAGTCGTCTTTAAGATGTCTGAAAATAAGACATCTTTAAGTCGTCTTAAAGACGTCTTATGTCCCAGTTTTGGACATTGCGCTGTCTGGGAAGGAAGATTTTGTTAAAATTTAAATGATGCTCACGTGGCGAGCGGTGCGCGCATATCTTCGCTGAGCCGTGCGTACATGAGTGCGGTGAGACCAGCCTGCCTGTCACCTTCGAAGCCCAAGAAGTGAATTACCTTCAATAGAGAAGGCGGTAGGAGGCTCACACATAATTGGTATATTCCATAACCGAAACTCACGGCCGACATCAGACGAGACACCTCCGTTGGTTCCACGAAGCTGTGAAATACATTCTACTCCAGTTATCATCTTTAATACCGCTTAATGACCGCTACGCTGAATTCACTGGTGTGAGTCCCACCAGGCTCAAACTCTCGACGTGTCATGTTAACAATATATTTGTTTTCTCTGTTTTCGATATTCGCTTAAATATTTAATAAGATTATTCTCCCCTGAAGAGACCAATCCAAAACCGTCACTCATGAAACAGGTCACGACAGGGTCTCAGGCGGAAACCAAGCTGTCACCTGTCACCTGTTACCTGTCACGGATATGAGCTTAAACGGCGTTCGCGCGTGCTAAACGCGGGCAGACAAGTTTAGACGTGTGTGAGCGAGGAGAGAAGCACAATGTCTCCAGTTGTAATTACAGCCTTTTTTGAGAGTTGACACGAAGCAGTGTAAGAATTTACCGCGAGCAAATTTCCGGCTCTGCGATCGTGGGATTACGGATACGGAAAATTGTCAACGTTCGTAAGTAACCACGCGTGGATATTTCATCAAATATGCCGAGGAGTATCTCGACAAGCCGGTCTGTCCCTCTTGGGTGGGAAAGGGCGAGGGAAGCGACGAGGTGGACAAAGAGAAACGAGAAATTTTGTAAGAAGAAACAACAATTACGGTGTCTGTTGTTCGGACGTGATGCCAGTGAGCGAGAAGAACATTGATAGAGAGCTTCGCAGACCTGATGGGGACGAAACAGGTGTCACGTTGTTTGCGTAACCGTTGCAGGAGGGTATCGACCATTCCGAGGATCCCGGGCTTTGCGGGCTCTGCAGGGAGGATCCGTTGCTCATGGGAGTACCACAACACGGGCTGAGTCCTGCGAGAAGGGAAGATCATGGAGAATGTCCTGTGGGACTGTTCGTCTTATCGTTCCGTTGCGTGCAATTGCGGATAGAAAAGCTGTCTATTACTTTTTTTGCGTGAGTTTTGTAACGTAACCACCTACGTCCTACTCAAATAGGAGAATTTGTTTGCGACAGCGGACAATCTTCTTCTGTTCGCGATTATATAAAAGGCATTAGCCTCAATTAAGTTTCCAATATCTTTCTCGCATTTTTTTTTTCTCGTGTTACGTAATGACGCACCGGTCGGATTGGTGCCGAAGGTGCGATGATATAATTGTGAAATCTGCGTGTACGCGTGCTGATAAACTCGCCAAGCCTTGCGAAGCATCCAGCCACCGCGCACATATCCGGTCAATTCTTGCTGTAGGAGCGTTAATATCGCTGAGCACACTTGCGAGTCCGCTAGAACGATTTGACGCTCCAGCTTGTTCACATAGTCCTTCTGAAATTGGTTTATATAGTTTCGTGATTAGTCCTCCTTATATCGATCGTAAGGTACCGTGTTTTAATCAGCACACCTAAGTACACATCTAAGTTAGCACATTTTGTACCTAACGTAAGTTAGCGCAATCCCGTTTCGCCGCCGGATTATACGTTTGCAGTATGATCGGAATTTATCGGACGCAATGAGTGTACTTCCGCAATGTACTTTCATCGGGAAACAAAGTCCCTCTCGACGTGACGTAATTTCATTGAGTTTCATTTTCGGTATCAAATATTCGCATAAAAAAGGCATACGAAAAAGCAGTCGCTAAGTTAACAACGCAAATGATGCAGTGTATATTTCTCAATTCTGGAACGTTTAAGTAAGTTAAATATACTTTGCAATCCAAGAGTGCCGTAATCCAAATTTTTTACTAGACTCGAAGAATGCCGCAGTGTTGTGTTTTCTCGACACCTATAAGCAACCTACGGCTCTTGAAGCTTAAAGAATTCCGCAAACCGGCGCAACTTTGAGTTCCATTTCTAGTATTATGTGTGTACACGCAAAATGTATCTTAAGTTGATTTCAACTTTTAGCATTAGGACTCCCCATTCTCCCCATTCATTTCGTGAGAAATAGTCAAACCAAACGGAATTGCGCCACTACCTTGCTGTTGGAAACTTACGCCAGTCTCTTCCGCCTTGAACACTTTACTTTTCACGGACTTGAGCCACCCGATATCGCCTGCACACTCTCGCTCCATCTCTTTGAGTAATAACATGGCTTGTTGAAGCTTGTCATGTTCGTAAGTCATCAGGGCATTCTGGTGATTAATTAAATTTCGTTAGAAATGATCGTTGAAATGAAAAATTAAGGACTTGGATGCTTGGAAGGCCGTGGGTCACTTTTTTTTTCGTGGCTTCGTCTCGTGCGATGTATTATTGATAAGATGTATATGTGACATACGTGCGACATGACTGAGTATCATCTTTATTTCATTCGCCTGTCCGTAAAACGAGACAGAGTGAGACATCGGTATCGATTTTATATTTTCCGGTTGCATGTGTCACGTTTATTATTAAAACCGATTGGGCAACAACATCGTTTCGCGGCCTTGGATACGTTAAGTATACTTCGTTAGAGCATACTGGAATCGATATATGCTCCGTATTGCACGCGATTACATACCATGAAGAGAACAAAGCAACGGCCGGCTTTGACGTGGAAGCTATGAGGATGACCGGTAAATAGAGCCTCGGCCTCTTCGGTTTTGTTATTCAATAACAGGGAGATGCCGGTCCTGGCGATATTCCAATCTTTCGACGGGCAATCTTCCCCCGTTGCCATTATCGCCAAAGAACAATTTTGTAAAAAATACTGGAACGTTAAAGTAACACCCCTAAAGTAACGAGTGTGTCCCGAGTATGTCCAACGCACGTGCTCGTCAAGTAGAAAGCATCTTGTTTTGTTGTATCAATCATCTACAACTAGAACTCATTATCAACTAGAAAGGTGGTTGTACCGGTGGTCACTGTCGCAATTTATTCGGGGCTATCGTTTGTTTAGAAAATCGCCCGTTTAAAAAATCGCAAATTCGACGATCGGCAGAGCACACTTTACGGAATCACTCGTGCACTCGTTTACGTCACGAGCGTGTCAGCGGCGTTGTGGCTGCGTTATCGCGACTGTCAAAGATATAACGAGGCATTATTCTTACGCTCACCGCGTTTTCCCTTTCCCGCAACAGTTGCACAACGGGAAAAGCTATTTTTAACGTGTTCTTCATATTCGAGGATATTCGAGGAAATGTCACTCGGCGGTGAAATGATTTTACGCGATTTTACGGGCCGACAATCGCAATCGGATGCCAAATTGATTTACCAAGAGGACACACTTGTCTCACGATATAGCGCAACATTAGAAACGAAGTGTATTTCATGTGATTAAGGAATTCGATACGTTCGCATCGCGGTTGTTATGTAATTTTGCGCAGTCATATGTAATCACTCTATTTGTGCATCGAGAGTGCATCGTAGCTTAGTTTCTTCTCCCTGCGCGACACACATGTGCGAAGCGACGGAAAATCGGAGTCCTTCGTTGCTCGGAGTTGCTTCTGTGTCCGTTGTATGTTCACCGAACTGAGGACAGTTTCCGCCGGACAGTGTCCTTTTTATTTTATTTCGGACGCGAACGCAGATATGTAAATTACGAACTGCTGATTCGCCAAATACGGCGTGAATCTCAATGTCTCTTCAGTTTCTCGTCAATAAATCAGTCAACGTCAAGTGAAGTGCTGGCATGTTATTGATAACGTCCTCACTCCTCGAAGAAGCCATGAACAAGCACCGCACGGATGCACGCTGGCTGTGGTACAACACGCGCGTGTTACGGCGAACCGTGTTCTCGTGGTGCATCGGGTTGACTAAATCCTGACAACGGCAGTCGGCGGTGCTACTACCACTACCTCTCCGATCGCCGTGTATACATGTACTATTGATTTTGGCCTAGAAGTATCGTGACCCTGAGCGCGCAGGGTATTCCAAAAGAAAGGAAGGAAGGAAGGAAGGAAGGAAGGAAGGAAGTAAGTGCGTAACGCGCGTCACCGACCAGATATCGATAAAGACCGTTGGTCTCACGAGATTTAGCGTAGCGGAGAAATTTTGCCTTGTGCGCTAACGTCTTTTTAATAATATCACTGAGGTAAGGCTAAGGACTGTCAATGCTCCGGGTAAATTTTCGTACAGACAAAGGGGCCCCGAGAGGCCTGGAGGTAATTCAAGAGTCATGATAATACCAACTACAATTTCAGCTATACCGAAGATAACACGAGGTATTTGTATCTTTGCCTTGTGCATTTGTTTCTATGCGCTTTGTAGAATTTATTTTTCAATTTTAAGGCAGAGAGAAGAGAGAAGAGGTGATTCCCTTCTAGAAGTTTATGATTAACATATATGTAAACTTGAATCGTCCGAACTTGTCAACTCCGGTTTTACTTTTCAATTAATTTTACTCGGAGGACAATTTTCTCCCAGGTAGAAATACGAAATTTTCCGGCATAGATTGAGTGCTGGATACTTAATTATTTTATTGCCGGAGGACGATTGAACTGGGAAAAGAATTCGATGTTTTTCCCTGATCTTTGTGCTCACTGAGGCATTTATTCCAAATCCAACTTTGTGATAGTGTAATGATTCAAGGTAATTGGATATCACAACGTAACATATTTCATATATTCGTACTTACGAATATGACTGAAAGTTTGTATATAAAGTAATAAAAACAATACTTTATGTATATATATATATATATATATATATATACAATATATATTTACAATTGTAGTTTAGCTTATATTTAAATGGCAAGCAGTTTGCCATTACTGGTTTAACATCAGCGAGAATAAAATTTCTATTCCATTACTTCAAATGCAGAAGTATTTATCGATCGGAAAAGTGATTCAGAGTTATTTACACCGAGTTTTTTAAAGTTTGGGTTCATAAAAACTTATCTAAAATTTAAGCAAAATCTGTACATCTATTTACAAGTTTGTTAAGCAATTTACTATTTCTATATGGAATGTCATATAAATTCTAGTCCTTCAAATTTCTTATCCATCACTCTGCTTTCGGGCATTATCACGTTCCCCTCTGTTGTAAAAGCCATGATATAAGTAGCTGTTCGTCCTTGGTATTCTTCCGTCTTTAATGCTATTATTATAGAATCCTGTGAACCAGGAAGGAACTTGAAGCTGGAGAAACCTCTGATTGGAATTAGCTCTCCAATATAAGTAACCTGTAAAAAATTCATTAAGCAATTTATTATTTTATTTATTTGTAACTGTATGTTTGTAACTGTACATTAATTCATGTACTTTAATATCAACAAAATTTTCATCTGCAGTCAACAAGACGTTACAGCTCATCATCTCATCCCTGGTCTCATTGTAACGTTCATGGGAACATCTTCTAGGCAAGAAGAACCAACTTTTGTGTATGTCACTCCAAACTGCAGATTCATGTATCATGTAACCTACATAAAGTGCAAATATGATTAAATTAGAATTTGATTACAGCAAAATTAATTCACATACCTGGATATTCGATGTTAATTGCTTGCCTTAATCGCTTGTAATAAGAAATCCAATTAAGAGAATGTGTCTCCCCACGTGGCGATACCACTTTTATCCACAATGGATTGTTGTGTTCAAATTCACCAGACGGTGTAGTCCATTCTTTTCCCATACTGCCAACATACAATTGCTCATCTTTGATGGTTGCCCATTCAGATTTAAATCCTACAAATATATAAATAAAACTTGAATGAAAGAAAAAAATATTCTAGAATATATGCAACAGTGCGAGCAACAGTAATATCAATTTGCCGCTATGTGATTTACCTTTTTGATTTCTACCGTTTCCATCCATTAAGATCACCCATGGATAAGCTTGATCACCTTCAAGGAAATATATCATTCCTGTACGATCGTCAAAGGATAATAAACGACCGTCAAACGTCACCAATTCTGACAGTTCCATACCACGTCCTTTCATAGACAGCGAGGAAGATAACGTAATAGTTCTGTCGTCCCAGATAACAGAGAGAAAATTCGTGTTGGGATTCCAATAAAGACTGCCGGTTTTCATGAGACTGTGCCATGTGTCTTTCTTATCCGGCAGCCTGGAGTCGTGATCGAGGTCGCTGACTATCGCTATTCTATAGGTGATACCCATGGAAGTTCTGATGGGTGTCGAGGTAGGATAAGTTTTGTTGTACTTGTAATAACGACACTGCGTAAGGGTCGATGTTCTTGGTGGCGAACACATGACGGTATGCAGCAGCGGATACGCCAGGAAGAAAATCGACACACTCGCGACAAGGAGAAGCAGCAGTAAACACTGGCTTTGTACACGGAATGTGCTATTCGCTACCCGATAGACGTGCGGTGCGCGCAACGCTTGTCGCCAGTCGCGCAAATACGACATTGTTTCTTTTCCGCCGTTCCTCATTCGTTCGGTCCGTATGTCATCGACCGTGGGATCAGATACACAAAGCAACAATATTACGTCAAACTCGAAGAAGCATGTCCCCGGCCTGTCAACGTTTGCTAACTAACCTAGCCTAATCCATTCGCCAATGGACCCGCGACCATGGATATATTAAAGAGAAGCTTGAGCCGACGTGGCGATGCCATATCCAGGGACGATTTTAAGTACGCATTTTTCGACGCGCCCTCTGAGAAACCACGAGGGAACTACGTACGTTACATGCGATAACGGTGAAGCCACTTGGTTCGTGTCCGTTCTATTTCCATATGATGAAGGTCAGGAAAAGACAGTCAATCTGTATGTTCTTCTCTTGCCATTGATGAACAGATCACACACGACGATAAACATGAAGCGAGTTAATAGCGACTTTATTGATAGGTAAGTATCCTTGTCTCACCTTTTACACGCGTTTTATCTTCCATACGTTATCCGTAATTCGTAATTCAGGAAGAAAAGAATTTCAAAGCTTCGGCTTCGGTAACACAACAAAACTAACCCTTTCTAACGATCATTTTTTATCAATTTTATTCGCCAACGATGCGTACTTTTGACATGTCGTAATATTTATATTATTAAGCTGGGAAGTTGAACACTGATCCAAAAACGAGCGTAAAATGACCGAAAGGTCATTTTATTTCTGTGTCATGGCGGGAGGTTCGCGAAATTTGGCTCGTAGTTAGATGCTGTCTTTTTGTCCAATATTTTCGAAATTGAGATTGTTCGGCGCAACTCCAACTGCAAATCCACGTCGCATGGTGTACGTACATAATGCTACTACATCGCGCGACCGACTTTTCGCAATCTTCGATCTTCCGCCACGAATGCACACGATGTATTTATGGTTATGGAAATGCTCGAAGTAACGTCGACCGGTCGATATAGCGAGATTTATAATACTTCTGCAGAATAGTAAACGCGCATAGCACGAAAACACACGAGACTATTCTTACTATTTTCGGGCTTCGTCGTGAAATATATATAACCGAGAGATAGGTTATTGACGTTCCTGCGCGCTATCTGTTTTAAAACCGATCTATGCAACGCATCTGTTTGTTTGTTCGACATTCAACATATTTCGGCTACCACTTACGGTACGTGCGTAGTACAAATACGTACATCCTTGAATATCAACCCTTTGCACCATACCGGTCAAATTTCTCATCGAAAGGAAAAAAGAATTCGGGTGCCGCGTGTCCTTTTGAATTTTAAATCACTTGCGAAAGTAACAGTAGATAGATTTAATCAGTAGTAAAAGTGAATATTTGCTCGATGCGATGATGGGAACACTAGCATTTAAAATCACAGAAGTGAATGTTCCATTTAATCTCACTGTAGATTTTTACTCCATACGAGTGAAAGTTTCAATTCGGAATTAAAACGGGATTGTTCCTGAGGCATACACAGCCGGTATAATAATAGTCGCGACGTGTCATGTAACTAGATTATTAGAATTTTCCAATTGCATATACGCCCGCGCAATATTGATTCATCATTTATTGATTATTTGAAGAAGCGGCAACGATACGTCGCGTCGGAGCGTGAGAACGGTGATAGCTTTATGTTAATGTTGACGATGAAACAAAAGATCGATCGCTGCTAAACCCATCGCCAGATCAGCGTAATTTCGGCGGGAGGGTCCCCGCTAATTTGCGTCGCGTCGATGACTACAACGACGCGTGCAGGTTCGGCTTCTCGGCATAGTTGGGGTCGAATGAACGAACTCCCGCAGCAAAATGAATCGTGGGGGGCGAACGTCGGTGGATAGAGCGTTGGGGGAGACGACGCCAGGGATGAATCGGCGAGGGTGGCAAGTCCCTATCGCGTCAGTCGCGTGACGCGTTTTCCACCGACAACGTCGACAATAACGACGACGACGACGACGACGACGACGACGACGACGTTGCACCGCGAGGCGAGAACAGCCGGTCGGCGCAATCTCACCAGTTTCCGCAACGAGACCGCGAGAGAGGCTTTCCCGCGACTTTTCTGTCTTTTGGTAGAACACGTGGCCGGCTCGCGCGCGTTCGGCTGTCGCCGGACGCGATCGGCTCCGCCGCCGTCGCCGCTGCCATGCGATAACCTGTATTATCGATCGCGCGTGCCGCAGTTCCGCATGGCGCGTTAAGCCAATCGCGGCGACTGGATAGCCTCGAATAATTTACGTCGACCGATTCCTGTCCGGCGAGTTCGATCTCGCCAATGATCGGCATGTGAACCGAACACGGCGGCACGTAGGTTCAACGTTTATCGTCGTATCGAGTACGCGTCTGTGCTCGCGGCAAACCGATCGACCGCGTCGCTGCGAGCCCCACGCTCGCAATTTGAATGCGGTCTCTGCGGAACGACGCTGCAGCCACGTGATCGCCGCTTGATCGAGGGTACGTTATTTCATGCCCGATAACAATTCACACGGTCGGATTACTAGTTGGCTGCGCGGCTGCTGACAAACGGCGGTCGTTATTCGCTAAGTTCGATAGTGCACTCTTCTCAACCGCGCGTGCACTCTCGCCTTGATTGCATCGCATTGCGCGTCGCCTCGGCGTCTCGTCTTTCAATTGTCATTCTCACGACGAAAATGGCACTTTGACACGGCATCCAAAGTGACAACTTGCGATGCCTAACACCGCACACTTGCGTGATTATTACATAAACATATTTTTGTATGATGAACACCTGCATTTTGGAAGATATAGATGAATACGTGAGAAATAGCAAATGGAATGGACCACGTGACTTCCTCGAAAGTTGCACTTTGTGTTTCAATTCTCGAAGTCACGTGACCATTGGCGCGAACATCTCGAACGTGATCACGTGACTCATAGTGGAAGCCATAGTTATGCACTGGTGGACCGATTTCACGATATCTCTCTGCGATATCTTTTCGCGTTTTTCTCGTAATCTTGTGCAATCTTCGCGTGTATATCGTGTGGTGTGTGTGTGTGTGTGTATGTGTGTGTGTGTGTGTGTGTGTATGTTATTGGGTGCCGCGAGTTAGTGCTTCAGATTGATGTGTGTTTTGCATTGTACAAAAGCAACGTCGGGTTTCGCTCGTACATCGTTGCGATCGCGCATGTCTTCGAAATGCACAGTCGGCAAAGGTTATGAGGTCGTGTTCGAGATTTCTGTATTTTATCTGCGCGCTTGCCCGTTCCTGGTTCCTTGTCATTCTAACGGGCGAACAATGTTTGCAGTCAATTTTGCGAGAGGTAAGACGATTCTCAACATTTTTGTCAATAGTATGAGGAAGAGACGTATTATGTTGCTCTGCAAAATTTATTGACTAAGTCGTATTGGTTGCACACAATTACAAATATTTTCACACGATAAAAGTATGTACAAAAATTAATCGGGGCATTACCCAACATCTAACGGAAACGATATAAAAATTAAAAAATTGATAGTAACTGAAGAGGGAACGGAGAGGAGAATATGAGAGGGAGGAGTAAGAGGAGCAAGAGAGAGGCAGACAAAATAACAACAGCAGAGTAATAGGGGGGAGAGGGGGAGGGGGGAGGGGAGAGCGAAACCTTATTTTTTGATATGCTATTTCGATCATTTGTAACATTTCACTTGCAAGTTATCGGTAATATGTGGTAAGCGATTTCAAATGCACGACTTAGTATTTATGTGTGATACAAGTGCGCGCTTGTACGGCCTCCGACGTACACACATTCGTACGCAGATTATGGAGTTGTACGCTCGGTAACGCGAAACGACTATTTGCACGTCTCTTGTTTTATGCCAGAAGCTAATCGTCGTATACATATATAAATTCAACAAGGACTGCGGGTAAACAAAAGATATAGTGCTACCCTAAAAAATAAGTCGAGTCTGTTTTACACCATAGGAAAGGAAAAATTGAAAAATGTCGTGAGATTTGACAGATGATTTCCCACATGATATTAATTCATGCTGGAAAAATAAACTATTTTATTAGATCATTTTTACTCTGTCATTGGACACTCATTTCAAAACTCAAATCTGGTAATTTGATTATTGCGAGTGAATCGATATGCTAATTGAAGTTTCACCTATAAAATTTAAACGTTTAAAATAACGATAACATTTTATAGTTTGACAGAGCCAAGAGCCAAAGAAAGAAATAAAATCAGATTAATCAGATTGCAGGAAAAAAATTCCATTCAAATGAATTTCAAAAAATGTTAAATTAACGCCAACATCTGATGAGGATTAAATATTTTTGCTAATATGTAAAAAGAAAAACTTTAAACTCCTGGAAGAGGAAAATTTCATAATTCGTATACGCTTTTGCTGCCTATATTACGCTTCATATCCCGAAATTACGGAGCTTCAAGAAAATAATGAGAGAGTCTGTAGTGTTTCTTTTATCCGAGCGAGCCCATGTACTTTGTGGATCATTCATCAAGGTCGACGACCTCGTCTCGAGTAGTCCCCGAGTTTTGCACGACTCGTCCGTGTAACTACGAGGTATCGTCGCGACACGTCGCGCACGAGGAAGACCAGATAAGGGGAAGAGAGAACGTACGTTAGGGATGCGGGGGCTGAGACGACGGGCTGAAGGGGTATCCACATGCGCTGACGTTCATCCGAAACGGAGGGTAGCTTGCGTGAGCGTCGAAAGCAAGATACACGCGATGGGGTGTGTGGGGGAAGAGACCGGTCGCGGCGTGTTTGGACGAGACTGCTTGGGATGCGCTATGGTTATGGTTTCGCATCGATCGAATTTTGCGATAGTGTGGCAAAGATCACTACGTTGCAGGTATATTATATGCTTCGTAGAGGAGGGCGCGACAAAAATTATTTCGGAGATACTTTGAGAGAAGCATCGGAAGGCTGGAGCAAATCTAAAGTGTCATAATATATTACAGTAAACAAATCTACACGGAGCAGTTGAATAAAAAAATCGAAAAGAAGAACTTGGACTGCAAAAAAAGTTTAAGATGTTCTATACGTGTACAATTAAGACGCACGCATTAACACATTGCCGAATGCACCCCGTGTACACAGGGTGCACGCGCCATGGCGAATGGTCCACCACACGTCGCCAAACCCATCATCGACGCATTGCCATGGAAACGACACCACCACGCGAGCTGTACCACTCTCTGTACTACATCGCCACGTTGCGCCGCTTTAGAGAGCAGGCTGCTAGTTTCAAGGGCACTACTCTAACGCACCTTAAAGGAGTGCACAAGGACGATCAATATACCCTTCACCCTTATATCCCCGTCTCTTTCATCCAGCCTCTGCCAAATATCTTCTTGCGTTGATAGTCGCATATCCGATTGCGTTAATAACGCCAACAGATGTTGGCGGCAGAAAGGTTTATCAAATACACAGGACGTTTCCTCGGTCGTAAATCGAGTACTTTTTTTTTATCGGATACATATATATATATATCGTACATCTCTTGCACTTTTATTTTCTTGCAACTACACAAGTCAAAAAGACAATTGGGAGTGAATGTGTTCAAAGTTGGAAGATAACAATATGATGTTTAATTAGTTATGATTGAATATTCTCAGTCAGCAGTGTCGATGATAACTTCATTAATAATCGAACTGCTTGGAAGCTTTCCATTTTCCGCCGCGGAAATCTTCCTCGTCGGACAATAATGCGAAAAACACTGGAAATGATGCTAAGCTAGTGTTGGCAGTAAAATCGATCATTTTACAAAAGCGACGTGGTTTAACAGACATTGGATCTTCCGTGTTTTAGCGACCACGCGGAAAATAGAGGAATGAAGAGATTCATCCGGTGACCTCGTGACACGCGCGGTAATGCTATTGGCAAGCGGTACCGCCTCGATACCGACCATCACCGGCGTTGTCGAGGAGGAAGAATACGCACGCAGCGAGGCCAACAGCGCGCATTACGATGGATACGTTACCGATCACACTGATCTTGCCTCAGAGATCGACATCGACGAGTCCGAGTACAGACGGGAGCTGCTTAACGATGTGAGTCTATATTCTGATGATATTGATTGATAATTATCACGTTAGTAGATAAGGTAGTTGTCTCTTGTGAAATAAATTTCTTAGTAATTCATTTGTACCGCCGACGATCATGAATTTTAGAATTTGTAACTATTTCAATACTTCATCGATTAGTGTGCTACATACAGGCTAACAGTGTACAAGTATATTAGATATTTTTATGAAACTGTATTTTTCTCTCTGCAATTATCATCTACGCTGATTTGACATAAAATTTATTAGCACTTTTCAATTTTCCCGTTTTTTGAAGATTAAATGTGATTGGAGGTTAAATCTAGACTCTAAATTGAATAATTAGTTAATTAGTTTCAATTATAAATAAAATGTCCCCTGTATTATTTTTTATTTTATTACAAATGTTGTATTCAGTATATGAGAATCTGTTTTTCTTTTACTATGTTTCAGAAATGGCGAACGCTCTTCGACAAGGTACGTAAACACTTCTTGCTATTATTTATTCCTGTTTTCTGTAAATCAGACATGTAGATTTTGTTTGAACCTGTCGTTGCAGTTCGATCCGGAGGGTTTCGGAGAAATACCGCTGGAGGATTTTTTGGCAGCTCTGAGGAGTCCCGAATGGAAGGCGGAGATACCAACGAACAAACGTGACATACTTCTCGCCAGGGCGAAGGAATCACACGTTCAGGCAGTGACTTTCCAGGATTTCGTCAATGTGGTGAGTCCGCAATTGTGTTTACATTCTCTTTTATTGTATTACACAGATCAAGAGTAGTATAATCTCATTGCGCAAAAATGATTATTAGTGACGTTACTAGAGATGTTACTAATAGTTGGTATAAAAAGAGAAGCAATTAGTATAAAAGGAAGAAATACTTTCTCCCTAGTTTCTAATATTGTGAAAGTGAAAGTGGACCTCGCTAAAATTATACGCTGGAGTCTTAACATCTGTTTTATTTTATTAATATGCTTGTTATGACTGTGCACGATACCGTTGGGTATCTGATTTGTGTACTGGAGGCAAGGTTCCTAGCATCCACGTTTAACGGATAAACGTATCTTTCCGTTTAGGAGCGAACGGTTTTACAGCACACTGTCTGCTCGACGGTGAAACTCGTTGCTCGCTCGATAGAGAAGGGCGGGATAAAATCGTTCAAGTTACGTACAAGTTCGATTCCTCCCTACAATTTCTATATTTCTCTCTCATTTAAATATGAAAGTAAGAGATACAAATCGTTATTGTGTGTAATACGATACACAATTTATTAAAATTGAACATACAAATTTTTCTCTCTCAAAGCATTTCTTTATGATTTAAATGCGGAAGCACTGATAATTCAAAGTATTTTAATACTGCTAAAAAATTTACTTTGAGTTGCGATCTTAACGTAGTTTTTTCCATGATGTGACATTTTTAAGCAACGTAAGCAGAATAATATGAAATGGTGACAATTTCAATCTTTAAAATTTTAACTATTATACTTTGATCTAACGAATCTTGTTATTGTTGATTATCTCTCTGGCTGCGCTTATATTTATAAACATGACCAATGGTATAATCTCTCATTGCATCAAAAAAATATTCTCCTATTTCGTTTACCTTTTCTTTTTACATAAAATCATTTCTTTTTAAGCTTGTAACACAAGTTCGAGGAAATTCTGTAAACATATATTGTATCGATAGTATGCAGCTTACCGACACAATTTCTCTATGACGAACCCTCTCCATCTCCATTGTGCGTGCTACTTATTCCGCATATGTGCCAGGCAAGAATACGACGAGGAAATTTGCGGCACAATATAATCTATTTAAGAGGCCGCGCATCGGAATTTACGTAGGAGCACACTCGATTTCTATCGGTTTTCCGCAAAAGCGTTTCGGATCACGATCGTGGAGCACGGTCAACGAAGAAGATTTACGGTAGTTAAATGGGGTTATTCTATCCGCGTCGGAATGTCTCATTGTCCGTCTATTTGTCAACTCGAGAAACGTGGGCTATGGTCCGGAATTCGCCGGTCCTACCGCACGACAATGACCGGGGCCAAGGAACCGCGGTTAGAAACTGGTAGATAAATATCGGCACAATGATAATCTCGACGTTTAGAGGTACGGCGCGCCGACGGGTGGTTCTTTGTTCGCGCTTAAATTCGCTGACAAGTTTTTGGCGGTTTTCCCCTTACTTCCATTCGCTGGTGATCCCGCGTTGGGTAAACGGGCCCGACGGGGAGAAGAGGAAAATTGTCCGTGCACAAATCGTGGCGATCTATCGAGCGCGTGGGTTAAACGACGCGTAAGGAGAGAGACTCTTGACGAGACTGGACAAAATGAAGCGTGAGAGATCTCGCTGTTAAGTTAGCGATCGATGTAATAGCGTGTCAATCGTGTGTGCATCCCTTCGAGACGGTAACAATCGTATCTGAGCTGATCTACGGATAATTCTGATAACACTGCTAAACTCCTGCAAGTATTCCCGGTCTCTGTCCTGCTGTCGTGTACCGCGCGATTTGTCCGAATTGTTTGTTGGAAATTCGAGCGGAATGAAGCAATTTTCCTGATGAAAATGCGTGAGATTCGGAGAGAGAGAATGGGACAAGAGAGAGAGAGAGAAAGAGAGAGAGAGAGAGAGAGAGAGAGAAAGTAACGTGTTACAGAATCTCCTTCCTTCTTTCGCTGTAGGTGTTGGTCACAGATGCTTTGCGTTCTCGAGGCCGCTACCTTTTCTCGTAAATTAGAAAGTAACGTGCGGCGGATTTTGGCGAGCTGTCACTGGAGCGGAGAGGCTATCACCTCATTTATCTCGATGACGAATGTGGGTTGAGAGGCGAGTGAAATCCCCTTGAAAATAAATAAATAACTAGGAAGCGCGCGCGTGTAGGTTCGTTCACCATCGTTATCCCAGTTTTCAGCCGCGCTCAATTATTTCGGAGCAAGTTTCGCATTTGTGACTTATAGGCATGCCTGATTTATGAAAGCCGACCGAGACAGCTTTCTCGAGTTTCATTCTTTCCTTTCGTTTTTCATATGATACGAATGTATACGGTAGAATCAAGTATTGTACGTCTAATTAATCTTAATTGCACAGAATTGGATACATTCGTTCATTTCATCCAAACGTTTGCGTGAAAATGACGATTTTTTACTAAAGACGGATTTCGAACCACAAAAATTATGTGTGACCGTGTGAAAATTGTGATTCGTTTTGTTATATTGAACGTCGATCTAAAGAAACAAAAATTCAGTGATATGGGTTTATTTTTTAAATCATCTGATGATGGAAATGTGTTAACACACTACGCGCGTACGCAAATCGATTGTTGCTCTTTTTCACAGCACAAAAGGCCCATAAATAAATAAAAGGATAAACTCGGAGCTTTTTTGAATGAGAGGGTAAACGTTCGCGAGATCAGTAGATTGCAGCGAGAGAATCGCTCTGGGAGCCCTTTTATTACGCATTCTCGCGCTCGCCAGTTTCCATTATACGTACCACGGAATTCAGAGAGGCCTCTCCTCCTCGTCAAAGGCTGATCCGTTTATCTGGTTTTCGCGGCTTACCTGCTTCATATTGACAAAATTCGCTTGAAGATTACCGACTGATCCTCGGTTTGTAAATACCTCGACCTGAAAGGAGGACTACCTAAAATTTCTCATGCTCACGACCTAATAATTCTTTGAGGCGGTTGAGATCTTGTGATTTGTGTGGATATCAGCAAACTATATTTTCGTTTCGTTGCCTGGGAGAAGATATCCACCGCTACGTTATTAGCTAGTGGTGTCAGTTTTGAATATCTCGGGCATTACCTGAGGATCCGAGTTTTACAGATGTTATTTACAAATATCTAGATATATATTCTTATTATCAACTTTTCTTATTTGTCCTCTTGAAGTCATTCCACGCATAAAGGTATAAAGATAACATCGGCAAAAAATAGATACTTTACAAAACAGCTAGTAAGTTATAAAACATGAAATATAAAATCAAAGCAAATAAGAAAAAGAAAGAAGAATTCTTAGTTATTTATTTTTCGTCGACTCTTACATGTAAATTGTACGAGAAGAGAATATATTTATTTAAAGACAAACGTATCACTGAACAAATTTGGCTTTTAGTATAGAAATACCCAGTTTATACTGACAGAAATATTATTAAACCTTTTTGTCCTCATCGTCCGTAAATACTATTGTTACAGCTACTTTTGACCGAACTGTTCAACTCCCAAAATTGTTCTCATCATATTTCATTTACCTTCATGTTCATGTTAAAATATATTTTATTAAATCTTAGGTGTATATATATATATATATATATATATATATATATACGGTGAGACCGCTTGCACGCTGTTAGCCACTGAAATCTTAGCTTCATTTGCCGCGGAATGTAATATACTATAATAGGATTACACCTGCAGGTGGCTGCAGGCAGCAGCAATTATTCAGAAGCGAGGAATCGCAAGTATTCTCGGTGCGTTGCTATAATTTACGGCTGGCGTTGTCGAATGGCGGTAACTGGGATTTCCTCGCATGCACCGCATATTACATTGTATAGCTCGCGTATGCTTATCCTACGCACGATCACGTGATAATCTCATTTATCATTCGCGTAGGTACGGAAATTCATTCTGAAACGCCTAAAAGTAGCATAACGGGTGTGCATCGACAAACAACTGCAATGTAGCTATTACGTGAATAAGAGTGGCTCTGGGATGGGGTTGTGCGCGTAAATGTGGATTTACATGTTATAAAACCGGCATTCTGGCACCGGGGCTCTGTTATTAAATATTGATAGTCGAAATTACTTTACGCTGTGAATCAACGCTTGAAACATTCCACAATAACGTAACATTTGTAAATCTAAAAGTACATTAGGTGAAAAGAACGAATGAGGAGAAATAACTTCCAGAGTAATACGATTCTTTTGGCAAACATCGCGAGTCGCGGACTATTTTTTAAATGTACCAGAATACTCTGTCACACAATCTCTCCCGATTTTAACGATCGGGCTGCGGCTGGTCGTTTCCCGGGGGCGAGTGCTTCGCGCTCCACACGCGGTAAGATCGAATTATTCTGCAGTGCACCGTGGTCGCGTTTCTCCTGTGTAGCTCGTTAAATGGCCGGCTTTATGAACTTTGACGCGTATTTTGGGAGTGCTTACACAGAGGCGGGATTTCTCAAAGAGCAAAAGAGAAACATCGGCGATGATGGGTGGAGTATTCGTGCCGAAGCTGCGATTAGCAATTAGTCCGGACGGAGGTGGTCACTTGATGTTTGCACAGCGGGCGTGGAACCGACGATTAGCGAGAGAGATGGAGCGAGGCGAACGGTTAGTGACGAGACAAATTGCTGTTAGAGGCAGAAAGAGGGCGAATGGTTGAGAAGATGTGGGAGAGAGAGAGAGAGAGAGAGGGGGGGGAGAGAGAGAGAGAGAGAGAGAGAGAGAGAGAGAGAGAGAGAGAGAGACTCTGTCGGCGCTTAGGTGGCCCTTGCCAGAGTTTCGGCAAGTCGGTGATTCCCGCACGATCGCGGTGGTCCTTCGTCCTGTTTCTTTTCGTGTCTTTCTCCCTCGCCCTCCGAGGCAATTTTTTCCTCGCTCTTCCCGCGCGCCACCGCCACTACGCGCAGCTCGCCGCCCTCTTGCTCTTCCCGGATATCAATTATGTCCCCGTGGGCCGCACGTTGCGACGTTGGACCCACCGGTGTGCGTCTCTCACCTCCACGAA